GCCGTTTGAGTAGGTATAATTGTGACTTTTACTAATATCTTGTGTCCTACATTATGAAATACTTCTTTAATATTTGATATATTTTGAATGTTTTATTCTGTCTAATACTAAATCTATAGGATAAGAATTAAGCATGCTACATGTAGTTCATTACAATTTGTATTTCACTAGACGATTTCAATCGACGAAAGTAAGAAACTGCTAGATAATCATATGATTATACTACGCTTTGAAATGTAGTTTTTCTATATTGATTTTATGATTCATCTAGCTTAATCTTTTTGCTAAAGCTGCTTAAACTTGTAATAATCATTCCAAGCTGTTCGTTTCACGTTTTTTTCAGTTTAGTAAAAATTATATTTTTTAAGGTCTCCCATCTCCTAAAAAAAGTCACTTTTTCTCAGAATAATCGAAATTAAGATAAATGCATTGAAAGATAGTCCGTAATCCGATGTCTCATAAATGAGAAAAACTTTTACTCAGCACATCGTTTTTTGAAATGAAGTGCCATTTGTTTGAGAGTTTTTCGAGTAATTGAATTTGTCAGCCTTTCTTTTTCTGCTTGAAACATAAGAGTTTCTAAAAAAAAAAAAAAAAAGGAATGCCATAGGCACTGAATTTCTAACAAAAAACCAGATTAAATATATAGACTGAGCATCATAGAGAATTTTTGGAGAAGAAACGAGCTATTTTTTACTCTTCTTTGGTGAATATCTTTAGCATACGACTGACACAAAAAGTTTGAGTACGTGTCTTTCAGGCAACAAACTCCAGCTCTGTTGATAGCAAAAGTTATTGCTTATTACTAGTAGACATTGGTAGTTCATGGTACTAATTGAATGCTTTTCAAGCATATTAGACTTAGGCCGAAAGTTGTGCAGGACATGATGGCGCCGAGCTTTCGCCCCCCCCCCCCCCCCTCCCGGTTCATATCGTTAACAACTTCATTTTATAGAACCTGAATACTTTTAGTTTCGGTTATATGAATTTACCAGAAAAACGTGAACAAGCAAGTACAGCTGATTTAGCTCGATCTACATTAGTAACCGTATTAAATAATATTGGTTCAATATCAATGATGTGTGCTCGAACAGAAGTAAAGAAAATATCCGTTTTTTTTATTTGTTTAATTGATTTTTGACTAAATTTGGTCATGTATAGAATGTTGATCGAATATTATTCAGTGGTAGTTTTTTACGTATTAATGATTTATCAATGCGAATATTAGCTTATGCTATGGATTATTGGTCTGATGGTCAAATTAAAGCTATATTTCTTGAACATGAAGTAAGAAAATGAAATGAATATGTTAATTTTTAATTTTTCGATTTTCTTTTTTTTTTTTTTCAGGGTTATTTTAGTGCTGTTGGTTGTTTAAGAAAATTTATTCTTGATGCAAATGGCCATGAAAATGATTTCACTCATTCCTCACAGCATTAATTCATTTTCAAAATAATATTCTTTTATTTGTTGTTTCTATGTGATAATTATCAAAAAAGTTTCGATAAACATTCATTTATTTACAACAATGCCATTTTGTTTCTTTCTTTGACGATAAAATGTATTATGGTTTTATCTTTTATTCTATCTATTTGTTGAAGATCTAAAAAAAAAAAAAAATGGTAGATCTTGTAAATTTTTTCCATATGTTTTGTTTTTTGGAATGTTGTTCGAAACATTGGGTACCAAATAATATGACAAGTAAATTTTATTTGTTAATTATAACTTTTTATTTGATATGTAGTTGTTTTTTATCTTCAAAGAACTTGATCTACGATTAAAAGAACAATTGATGGGTCAACCACTTGCATATAATCTCATACTTAAATCCATTAGTTCACATATCAATACTGAACATCCATCTAAAGCTCTGGTTCTCTCTTTACATGGAAGTACTGGTACAGGTAGGCATAATAATGATTGAATTTTTTTGTAATAGAATCTTTTTCAAAACGTTAGCATCTATGTTATTATGTTTTTCTAACGTTTTTGAAATCGATATAAAATGAATTCTTTAATTGTTATGCGAATCTGATCTGTACAGTAAACTGATGATATCATTGATCTTCTCTTTTATGTTGATGAAAGAAAACCACAGGTTTATTGATGTTAGTTTTAAGATCAAAATTGTTCAAGATTTATCTTGTACGTGTATATCTAATGTGTATATGAGTTCGGTTTTTCCTGTCATATATTTAAACTCTTATTAGTGGTTACAGCAGTGAAAAAAAATTGAAAGTACACTTGGGCGAAAAATTTTGGACACCACTCTATATATACACATATCTTCCCTTCTGGGAGTTGTTGTTGTTCTTCTACGTTTTCAATGTTTTTGTTATTAGCGGTCACCCATAAAGGACGTGCAAGTAAAACGGTGGTGTCAACTATTTCTGGACCTGGAAACATTTACAATGAATATTTTTTACACAACTTTCTGCAAAATTTTGAAGATTAGTTTGTTTTGAAGAGCATTTTTAAACAGAAATAATGAACGTTGTTGAGTTTCTGAATGACATTTTGTATTAAAATTTGTTTTTAGTTTTTACGATTTTCTGTTGATTAAAATCAAATGTATTAAAAAAATAAAAATTTTGAAATAGGTGATATTTGTATTTATTAATTTCTATTTTTGATATATTTATTTAATAAAAAGAAAACGGTATATTTGAATAAGTAGGCGCTTTCGAGAAAGTTTTCTTTTTTTAATGTTGAACATTCAGGAAGAAGGAAGGATTTCAATGAAATTGAATCGAAGGCGACGATAAAAAAAATGCGATTCTTACTTGTAAATCTTTCGTGAATGACCCCTGAGTAAAATCATAGTTGCATGTTATAAAACAAAAAAGAATTCTAGATGCTAGATTTTCTATTCTCCAGGTTCGATTTTCGCATCTGCTATGTTCATGGATCTATTTTTTCCTATCGTTGTTTTTAACAAATTATATGTTTCTAATTATCACCAATCGCTGTGTTGACTTTCATAGGTGTCTTTATGATTTATGAAAATTTAGAAAAGAATGAATTCATATAAGTTTTAATCGAACGATATTAATATTAAATTTACTAAAATATAAAAATTCTTAATGTTTTTTTTTTTAATCATTTTTCATATAGGGAAAAATTTTGTTGCTAAACATATTGTTGAAAGTCTTTATCGAAATGGTTATAGAAGCAAATATGCTCGACTCTATGTCGCTTCTCGTGATTTTATGCATCATGATGAAGAACATCTTCAACAATATAAGGTATGTTAATAATATAGACATTGATTAAAATCATTTACGTATTATAGTATATTTTTTATATACACATTTTCTTGTATATAGGACCGTATAAAACACGATATTGAAAGAGCAACAAGTGGTTGTCAATATGCAACATTTGTTTTTGATGAGGTTGATAAAATGCCTATGAAGTTACTCGAAACGATTTTATTTTATATTGATTTTCATACTCCTACTTACGCACAACCCATTGATTTTCGTAAAACGATATTTATATTTTTAAGGTAAAATACTAATTATTCAAAAATCGAACAAAAATAAATCAATTGCAATATGTTTACATGGTTTGATAGAGCTCAACGAGATTTCCATGACTCCGAAAACTGAATGTTGTTTTAATTAATCAGATTTTAGCATTTATTTCGTATGACCATCAAAATAATCACAAAATATGGTCATATTTTGAGTACGAAAAGTCTCTGTTATTTTTTCTTTGAGAATAGAGTGGAAAATCTTTTCGCTTTTTCTCTGTTTATGTTCTTTTTGATCGTGCATCCCAAAATTCTTGAAGAAGCTTCAAGAGATTTTTTTTTTCGCTTGAAAGATCATGTCAAGATGTATGGCATGACAACGCCCTGTTTTTAAATTAAGCTTTGTTATTACTTTTTATAGAATTTGAAATTTTGTCTCCTTAAAAAGTAAACATTTAAAAAAAGACTATCATGCCATACATCATGACATGCTCATTCAAACAAACAAAAAACAGAATTGCTGGCTGCCAAATGGTCTACCTTTGACCCTCAATTAGTTGAATATCTTCCGAAAGCATAACAATATAGAGTGAAAGAATTTCATGCGATCTGAATGTCTCTAGGCCGAGATCGATTTTTGATGGGACAAGACTTAAATAAAACAATAGTGAAATACAACAATCTCCTTGTGATTATTAACGGCTGTTACATTGTATTTCACATTAATTCCCCAATGATTGCGCTAACAGTGTTTTTTAATCAGTTTCACCCCATGTTCTCCTCTGGGTCGAATTTTGACGGAAACTATTTTTTCTAGTAATATGTATATACAATTCTATGAGATTTTCTTTTGTGCTCATTCTAAAAATCGTATAATTTTTGCATGTGAAACGACTTTTCATAGTCGAAATCTCGAGTACAATCATGATTTATGACTATTTCAACAACACTCAAAACATAAAATTCAAAGGGCAAAAAACAAAATGTCCTTTTTTTTTGTCGGCCTCACACAGTGAAAAAAAAAAAGATATCCCGTAAATCTGTAAGTTAGCAAAACTTGATGAAATTTTTTAAGAGTTTTTAAGTCTGATTTTTCTCATTTGTTCTTTCTGCATCTTATAGATCTCATCAAACTATGTAAAAATATCGCCATTAATTTTTCTTTAATCAATTTTTGAATAATTCATCTCTTACAAAAATAAATTCTTCATTTTATTAATATTAATTTATTGTTTTAGTAATACTGGTGGCAAGGAAATTAATGTAATAGCACAAAATAATCATTTTGCTTCCATACAACGTAATAATTATAATATAACTGAATTTCAACGTGCTCTTGCAAATGCTGCATTTAGTGAACCAGGTTTTTGAACATTTATTTTTTTTTTTTCATAAAATTTTCGTTTTTATATTAAAGGTGGATTATGGCATGCATCATTAATTAATCGACATTTGGTGACTTTTTTTGTACCATTTCTTCCACTTGAACGTTTACATATTCGTACATGTATTGAACGACAACTTCAATTATCACATGCGAAAGATAAATATGAATATATATTATCTGATAATGATATTATTGATCATGTTCTTGATTTAATTGAATTTGCACCACCAGATTCTTTACTTTATTCCGTATCAGGATGTAAAAAAGTTCAACAAAAACTTGATTTTATATTAGAAAGTAATCGGGTGATACGACCAAAGAAAACTACTGAAGAATTTTGAACTAATGAATGATTATGAGTCATTATTTTACCTGTGATTGAATGTTATTATTTTTTCTTTTTGTTACCCTTCTTGTTGCTCTTTTTCATTTTAAAACAATCGCATCATTGCACAACATCCTTTTTTTCTTCTTTTCTACACTTGTTGAAGATTTTTCTTATTTTTCAGTATGAATGATATGAGTGTTAAACAACAACAGATTGAATCATTGAACAGTGAAGTAAGTTTTAATTAAATATAAAAGATAATGAAATAAATTTATTCTTTTCCTTTATATATTTGTATAGATACAAATTTTACAGAAAAAATTAGATAGTAAAACAAAAGCATTTGCAATATTAATAAATGAACTTGAAACATTAAAACATGAACGTGATCAATTTAAATCACTTGTCGATAGTTTACAAGAAAAATGTGGTCAACTTAAAAAACAATTGACGAATAAGGTAGAATATTTAAGGACTTTAAAATCTGTTTTGTTTCGATTCAAATCTTTCCTGTTTGCTACTTGACTTTTAAGCGCTCTTTTCAAAAATTTCTCGGAAATGCTTTGACGAAAATTGATCATACTTTCAAGGTTGATAGATTTTGATAATCAGAGCAAAAGTTGTAGTAGACTCTAATTTTTCATCTGCTTCCTTCAGGAAGATATATGGATGAGACTCGAATTTCGTAGGAAATAACATTTTTTTCACATGTATCTTTTTTGATCAATTTGAATTTTTGTAGATTACCGTTTGTAGCGCATCAAATATGAATATAATGAGCTTTTGCTAAGATATTTCGTAGAATTAATAAACAAGATAAACTCACAAGATTGCCACCTAAAAATTCATAGGATTTTATTTTCAAGCTAGAGCTCTCCGAAGCTGACGAGGGAAGGTCCCCAACTGTCCAATCGCTTTTGAGTTCGGACCCTGTACATAAGGTAGACCCCAGTGAGGTATGAAAAACTCCAAAAGGATAACGGCCCTTAGGCCTTCTGTCCAGAGTTATAGGGATTTTACTGGAATTTTAGCCTATGGCATGGTATTTACCAACAAATCGAATGACGATATTTCGGGTTGAGATTTTGCTCATAAACAGATCTAGTTGTGAGTAGAATGCCCTGAAAATTTCAGCTCAAAAGAACGTTTCCTTTTCGAGATATTAAAGTCCAAAAAAAAACAGAAAATTCTAGCATCTTTCGTGAGATATGAGTGATTTTTGGGACTTTAATATCTCGGGAAGGAAGCATTATTTTGAGCTGAAATTTTCAGGGCATTCTACTCACAACTAAACCTTTCTATGAGCAAAATCTCAACCCGAAATATCGTCATTCGATTTGTTGGTAAATACCATGCCATAGGCTAAAATTCCAGTAAAATCCCTATAACTCTGGATAGAAGGCCTAAGGGCCGTTCTCTTTTTGGGGTTTTTCATAACTCACTGGGGTCTACCTTATGCACAGAGTCCGAACTCAAAAGCGATTGGACAGTTGGGGACCTTCCCTCATGAGCTTTTTTCAGGACTTATACAACTTGGCATAATTCTGATTTTCACAGCACTTGATAGAGGATACTTTAATATATCTTTAGAAATGCAAACCTCGCTATTGAAGAAAAACATATTTTTAGTCAAGAAAAAAGGGAGGTCCCTTTCAGAAGATCTTAAAAGAGTTCAAGACAAAGATAGTTCATTATGCTGGATTGAATAATAATATCTATTTCCTGTTTTAAAGCGAATCAGCACCAACTTTTTTTTTGAACATTTTCAATTCTTACACTATATAGGGAAAGTTTTCAGCTTTGCAATAATTTTGTCTTGAGCTATATTAAGATCTTCTAGCATCATTTTCTGAAAACAAGAGCTCTCAGGAAAACCTTTGTAAATTTCGACTAACACACATTAGAAAGTTTGGATTTGCCTAAATCCGAAGAGAAATGGGTTGAGAATATTATTTTCAACAATTTCTATGAAGAAGTCACCTGATTGATCAATAGGTAGTCAATCCGATTTCGACATAATTTGATGGCTTTCGGTGTTCTCTCTTCAATGGTAAAAACCGTAGGTTGCTACAAAATTTCTATCAAAAGTTATTCTAAAAACAGTGTACGACATTATGTGTTCAAATGGATCGTCGGCTAGTACTGAAAAAAACTAAGATCATCAGAACCATATTTACTACAACCGCAAAATCTAAACATAAATAAAAAATTTTCTTTAATTTTTTATTTTAACATGTATAATTCATTGTATTAAATATAATTCTTTATTTAGATAGATCCTCTCAGCACAATTCATCATTCTCAAATAGTCTATGAAAATCCAAATGATGTAAGCGCGCATATATAATAATAATAAAATAATCATCATATCTATCAAACCTATTCAGATAAAAGATGATTTATTAAAACAAAAAGAGGTTTGTTAAGGTTTTCGAAAGCACGAAAAAAACATGCATGTTATCATCTACTAAACAAAATTTCTTATTTTTTAATTTTTTGTCTTAATTAATAGATATTTCTTTTTTAATGATCTAGTCAACAATACATCTGTTAAAAACAGCTCTTAAAAATGTTCAAGATGAAAAAGAAACATTACAAACAAAAATAGATGAACTTATACGTGAACTCAATGATGTTAAAGGCGATTTATCAGTAACAGATTTTGTTTTTGAATCATAAAAAGAAAGAGTACCTTCTTTTGTTTTAGATTTTTCGTCAAAAACGTCATCGAACTCGTATTGGTAGTAATCAAAAGGATCATGATGATAAAGAAATAAATCATCATAATGAAGAACAAACAATTTTATTAAAACGTTTAGAACAATCAAATGAACGAGTTTGTTAAAACTTTTTGAATTTATCTTATTTTAAGTTCTTTTTTTATTTTTTTTGTCTTTAGATAAATCAACTTGATAATGATTTGAAATTAATTGTTTGTCAAAAAGAAGAACTTGAAATTGAACGTGATTCATTTAAAACAAAATTTTGTAAATTAAATCAAGAATTAAATAAAATTTTAAATGGAAACGAAAAACATATTGTTGATATTGAACTTGTTCTATCTGAAAATCGGTATTTTTTTAAAATTAATCTTAATAATATTATTTTTCTTATTCATACTTTTTATTTAGATATTTAAAAGAAAAAATAAATGAATTAATACAAGAAAAAAATCTTCTTGCAGCTAATGCTGCTAAATATAAAGTAAATTAAATATTTTATATTAAATGAAACTATAAGTTTTTTCGATGATTTTTTCACTACAGAAAGAAACATACGTAGACTGTCTAAAGAAAGATTATCTCTATCTAATTGTGTATGCATTATTAAGTTCTACTGCATACTGTTGACGTGTCGATAGGTGAGGTGGTCTAGAGTCCGTTGGATTAGTCTCGGATGTGGCTCCGAAAATTTTGAACCTGATAGGTTTTAGTGGTGTCATCATAGAATGTGACACTATCTGTTGTCATATCAACGGTACGCAATAGAACTTGATACTGAATATATCATTAGATACAGGAAGTCTTTCTCTAGATGCCTACATATATCGGGTGTGGCAAAATTTTTTATTTTGCATGTAAATCTGTTCAGGAACATGATAAAATGTTGATCTTTGTTTTTAAAAGATGAGTCATTGAATATTCTACTTGAATGCCCTGATCAAAGCTTTATAGTTATTGTCGAAATTTTGATAGACTACTAACACTGAATAAGTGTGTCATCATGTTATTTCCTACAAGAGAAAATGTTGAAAATCGTTGAATTTGATTTTGATAAGTATTGTTCATGCACTTTCACCATAATGTTGTATATGTTAACCGGGTCTGGATGCTTCTCTCTGAAATGAAATGTTTTTTTTTTTGCTGTGTTATCCTCAACATATCGTCTAAAAGCACTGAGCTTGACGTACAAATCGCCAAATATGAACGTTTTGATCTTTTAAAGTACCTAACACAGGCTATTTGGCCTAATCTTAGTTGTCAATCACAAAATGAAATTTTTGTGATTTCTCCTTATGGGAAATAACATGATGGCACACGTGTTGAGTGTTAGTGATGCATTAAACTTTCGAAAATGCTTATAAAGATTGAGTCTTGTGATCCGAGTAGAATATTAAATGACGAATCTTTAAAAAAAAAATGATTAACGTATTTATCATATGCCTGAATAGAGTTACAACAATCGAATATATTTTAGGAACTTTTACAAACACATCGTTCAGCATATAATCGTTTAGGAAAAGTACAATCTTCAGGAAGTATATTAACGAATAAACAAGGTAAAGATAAAAAAAGAAAGATTTACTTTTAGTTTTTTTTTCAAAATACTATATTATCTTTTTATTATTTAGTTCGAAGTTTAATAAATCAAAGTTATCTTGTTCCGAATACGCCAGAGACTGAACAAGATTTACGATCAATTGCAGAAGCTTTATATGACAATATAAAAGATAAAAATATAACAATTATTCATCAAAGAAAAACAAATAAGTATGTTTTATAAAACAATAAAAATGAAAATTTTCTTTTCTTCTATTATTGAATAGAGTATTAGCTAATCGTGTGACAGAATTAGAAAATCTTCTTGCTGAAAGTAGTCTCGCTTCTAAATCTGGTAAGTAAATCAATATTTTATGTTAAAAATTTTACTTCTTTTGTTATAAATTACAAATCACGATGAAGTTCGTACCTAAAAAAAGTCAATTTTCGCAAGAAAACTTTAAATTAAAATATATGCATGAAAAGATCGCCGAAGTCAAAACATCATGATATAAGCCGAACAGTTTTAGTATAGCTTCTCCACTATAGCCCCAAATATTTTTTGAAAATTTGAATGTTTCTTGCCTGAGATAGATCTTTGAGCAAAGGGCTTAAACAAGCTTTATGCTACATTGGTGAGCTGTTTATCGAAAACTTTGTATCCTTTGGTAACGATAATGTTTTTTCTTTCCTGATCTATAAAAAAAAAAAAAGTCGATCATTGCAATCGGATAGATGTGTTATATAAATAAGATCAGCAGTATTTTGTAAAAATAGAGTGTCCTGCCTTCGATCAATTATCTAATTAGCACTACTTTAATATAAAAAATGATTATCAACATTTGATTCTAGAATGGGATATATGTAAGTTTATAGCGGAACATTTTCTCTATGTAATAGTGTATGTATTATCATGCTTATATTATACACCTTGAGGTGTCAAAAGAGAAAGGCGTCACCTTTGCCATGATTAAGGTCAAATGCTATGAAATTGTTGTCCCTATTGACATGTGAAAGGTACACAATGGAACTTGATATAACATACACTATTAGATGGAGGAAGCATTTCTTTTTCAAGTCAAAAAAGTACAGGGAAACTTATAATTAGCTTTAGAGTGTTGAATGCTTGAGTACTTTGTCAAGCTCTAATTTGAAAATACTTCATATCTTTGGAAAAAAAGTGTAAAGTCTTGACAAGTATTTTTCTCTTGCATAAAAATATAGAAAAGAACAGTATCTTACTTACACTTTGTAAAAGATTAGAAATGTGAAAATATTACCGAATTTTCTTTGTATGGAATGTCACTAAAGATTCAGAATTCATTAAAGTTTAATGTGATCTACTTAAATTCTGAAAATTTCATATTTAAAAAAAATCAACTAAACTAACCAAAATAATTACATATGAATAGGTTTCTTATTATTTTTTTTTTTTCATTAAAGAAGTTCTTTATATATCCTTATATTAATATTTGAACTGCATGTATAACTATAATTTGATTAGATCAAACCAGTTCGCTTATTAATTTACTCGATCGAGCACCAACTCCAACTATTTCTGATAGTGCAACATCTGAATTTGTTAATAGTATTGATGAATTACAACAACCATCACCTACTCAAATAATAAGTTTTTCTCAAACATGGCCAACACCAACGTCACCACCAATTCGAACATCGGAAGATGATTTTAATAATAAAATAAAAACAATGAAAAATACTCCAGCAGCAATTAAAAATACACTTGAATGTCATCAATCAACAAAAATTCGAAGTAAATCAGAAAGTATAGATTTAGAAATGGATGATCCATTACAATTAACTACTTTAACATCATCAATAGCTTATTTAGAAGAACGAGATCTTATTCCGCCTACAACTCCAGGTATTTCAATCATTTAAACATGTATATATTTAATTCTGAAGTTTAAATTTTAAGATCACGATCTTCATTTATCAAATCAAGATGATATTGATCATCTACAAAAACTTCTTAATACGGCTATAGATAAAAATATAACACGACAATCGACACAAATAACTAATTCAAAATCCACAGCTTCCAATCTCACATGTTAAAATATAAAAATGACATGATCGCTTTTTTTTTTTTCTTGTTTATTCAACCATGTTAGTGTGAAGTTGGATTAATATACTAGTCACCTTCTTACAGGGACATTTCAATATAATAAATGACAAACACTAAAAAAAGAAATCGCGTGTCCTTTATCGCTACACATCTCTCAACATATGTTCATATCATTAAAACTCAAGGAGAAACAAAATAAAAAAACAGAATTTTCAATATAAAAAAAAAAAATCTATACATCGATAGTCTGTCCTTGATAAGTATAAGTTAAAAGGTGACTAGGCCTTGATAAAAGAAAAAAAAAGATTTGTTTTTTTTTATTCAATAGTTGTTGCTTGAATTACTTCAGTAACTAAATCTGGAATACATGCAACATATTTATGCCAACCATCTGTTTGTATTATGGCCTTGAGATTTCCATTAACAATAAATTGAATGACACGAGATTTAAGATCTTTTGAATGATGTTGATCAGCAAGTAATAAAATTTCCGCACTTGTATCAATTGATATGGAATTTATTAAAGCCATTTCAGCTTGTAAACGTAAATCTTCTAATTGATATTTATCAGCACAACGATATAATTCAACTGTAGATTTTTTTATATCTGTTACTTTGCCTGTATATATATATTCCAACATAGATTGAATTGTATTTGGATGTAAATCATTGATATCAATAGTATTTGTTGTATTTTCTAAAGTACGATTTGAGAACATAGCAGCAAATACAGGTGATCGTGCAGCAAGAATTAATTTATGAGAATGAAAAATAACAGGTGATTGAATTGGATCATCATCGAATAACATATATGGTACAGTAACTCGTATTTTAATATCACTCATTTTTGGTGGTGAATGAAGTAAAAGTTGTGCAAAATCTCTTACAAGACCTTCAAGACCACGTGTTGTAAAATTAATACTTTCACTATCATCAAATTCTTGATATTTTGTTTCTTCTGTTATAGCATCATCCATTAGTGTTATACGTACATAAATTTTAAGTTTATCGTCATCGAGTGTTTCATTCTCGAGTAATGTTAATGTATCATATTTAACATAATTAATAAAACCACGTGAATTACCACATTTATAAACAGAAAATTGTACATCTTTACGCATTTCTGTTAATTCACATTTACGATTAACAAGCGAATATTCAGCTTTAGCTTTTATATCACGTTCACCTTTAATATATTCAAGAAAAATTGACATATAATTTGATGATGCACCATAATTGCCTTTTGGATAACAAACAAGACGCCATTGTGTTGCTATACTAATACCTGATATTGGACTAAATGGTGCTGATGATAAACAAATAATTGGTTCTGGATCTTCAAGATAAGTTGAAAAATTTTCTACAATCCACATATGTGAAAATGTTTGTAAAGTTCGTTTTGTACAGCAAACACTATCAAGACTATAATCATTACGTATAATAGGTGAAAAATTGGAGTTTATTGTGCCAGGTGATGTTGATTCGTTCGAAGTCAACGAAAGACTTGATGAAGATTTTATAACAGGATTGTACATACTAAATAGATAAGAACAAAATTTAATCGTTGTTCTTTCTATTTTTTTTTTGTTTGAGAATATTAAAGAATATATATGTATGAATATCTGCTTACGTTGTTTGATTTCGCTTTGTTCGCATTACGTATCTTTTTTTTTCTTTTGAACTTGTGGAAAAAAAACTGAGGGACACAGGCAGAATAATGAGCACGGTTTTTCTTTCTTATATAAAATATTGCTTATATATCGGATGCGTTGATCGAACGCTCGAATGATTGCTCGCGCTTCTTATTCTCTTGCTCTCCTTAGTAGCTATCGTATTCTTCTTTTCTTTTTCTTTTTTTGAACATACAAAACGAGAAAGAACAAGGGAAAATAAAAGAGATGGCAGATGACACTGAGATTGAAAGCCATGGGCAGACAGGTAATATATGCATCCACGCAAGCATATAATTTGTTCGATCGATATATATCTATCAAATATGTACAGAATGAAAGACTAGACAATCTTACGTGCGTCGAATTGATAGATTGTGCATGAAGATAGTATATTCAGACAAAGCTACAAGCACATCTGCTGTTTCTTCGAGCACACAGTGGATCTCAGTTGTTATGATTAGTAAAGAAATAATAATGATAATACACGGTCACAAATACCAAAGTCGTTTTCTATTGATATGATATTGATCTCAAGACGCCAACGCTCGTTATATCGTCAAATGTTACCAGTGTGTACAGAATAAAGTCCTATTATCAACTATTTCGAGACGAACGTGCTCGTTATACACATCTCTAACCGCTTGCATGTAACATAGTCTCGTCGAACAGATTATTATTCTATAATCTTTTTACTTTTTCTTTTTCTCGTTATGTGTTTATGCGGTTTTCTTCTGTTATAGAACATTTTATGTCTCTGTCCCTATTGCATTGTATTTCTTTCTGATTAATAATACCAAACTAACAGATCATGTGGATGTAAAACGAGACATACATATGGAAATAAAAAAAAAGCCATTGGCAATAAAGAAGATATATTTTGCCGATTTTTTGACATGTTTTGTCTGATTTATCTCTTCACATTTTTTTTTCTTATATTGATAAAATAAATATATACTATGTATTGGTTCTTATTAATAACTTGTATAAGAATAAAATACTTTTTCTTTTTTCTCTAATAATAATAATTTTGAAAAATAATAATGATTATTTGTGAATAAAATAAAATTTTATATTTCTTTGACATACGATTTATTCATTCAATGAATAAATTATATGGGGTGTCAATATTCGAACTATTAATTATTGCTTAAGAAATTTTTAATAACTATGAAGGAAAAAGAAAAAATATGTCGGTCTCATATGTATTCTTACAAAACTAATTATCCATTTCATTTAAAATTTATCAAGAAAAAGGAAAAAAAAAAAGAGATATGAATAAAGTTACGTTAAATAAAAAAGAAATAATGATTAATCTTACATTTCACAAGTTAAGAATTTCTTAATCTACTTTTATCATTATTCTTTTTATGTAAAAATAAATCTATCAAATAATATTTTTCATTATATATTCTATTTATTATCGACACGATTTTAATCAATATTAAATAAATAGTAATGACATAGGGTTAGTCACCTAATTCAATAACTATTTGATTGACAAGCTATAATTACTATAAGAATTAATGTTTTCATTGATTATCGTTTTCGATTGAAAAGAAAAGTTTGATCAATATCTGTCAAAAAATAATGTTATCATTATGTTTTATTTTATTTCTCTACTTCTATTTTATTCTTTTGAAAACTTATTCCATCTTGTTTGATTACACAATATCCAAGAATGCGAATGAAATATAACTTATGTCTATCACTGTTATAGAACAACAATTCTCTTTTTCTATATCTAATTATATAGTCTTATTTTATGTATTTACTCATTGTTTATACCAGTTAGCAATAGACCGAAGTCTTATCTATCTATCTTTTTGACGCATCACTTCATATTACCTTTGTAGTAATAGAGTAAGTCTATTTACTTTATTTCTAGCTAATATACATGTAAATATAACTATGTATTTTCAAGAATTATATAATAAAAGAAATCACAACATATTGAGTAATAGATGGAATATTTATAATGATTTCTTTTTCGATATAACACCCAATATATGAACATTAAAATAAAACTATGGCCTGTTTACCGTTGTTAAGATTGTGCTGAATGACAGACAGAGAAAAATGAGTAAAAAAAAAAAAACGAGTAACTCTTTGATAATGAGAGATTAATCGAATGTGTTGAATTCGATTTTTTTTTCTTCTCTTACTTACATACAGCCTTTTTCCAATGCATCATATTACAAGCACCTAATGCTTTCACTTTCAATTCTATCGTTGTCTTCCTGCTGATTCAAGGTTCACATACATACATCAGACATATGTTGATTATAAAAGAATAATTGAAATGGTTTCAATATTTAATAGAAATGATATTGATTTAATAAAGATCAAATAACAACAGTTTCTTTAGAAGGACATTTTTTATTAATAACATCGATATAATGATCATACATTTATATTCAAAAGAAAAAAATGAATTTAATTGGTTTATCCTTGACATAATAAAAGAGTTGTATTCATAATTCGTGAATCAGTACTACCTAATATGTTCTCAAGAATTTGCTATTTAATCGAATTATTCTAATTTCAATTGGAAGACTTAAAACATCATTAAATAAAAGAAATCTTTAGTCAACAATTCTCATATTAATATAAAGAGTATAGATGTTCTTTTCATAGAAAAAAACGTTATTTGCTTGATGACATCTGTAGAATCATACTTCATTGAATTCTTACTTTTATGTATATACCCATATTTCAACCTTTACCATTAATGTCTGAATATAAGGACGTTTGACATCGATATAAGCAACATAAACAATGATATACGGGTATTCTCAAAAGTAACAGAATGTTTTGCTTCAATATTAATATGTATGTATATAAACTGTCATTGTTTACTTATATTGAGGACATAAAGCCATACCCATTTCTGATAGAAACAGAATAGGAAAATGATATTCCTACTTGTATTGTCAGTATCCGTTTTCAATGTAGTTTACAGTTTACAATGTATCAATAATTGTTCAATGATTTATTCTATGAATCAATCATTTGTTTTACCACCGAATTGTAGTTATATATCAAGTAATCGATGTTCAGTTAAACTTCTATTTTGGTTTGAACGTAGAAATTATGTTGTCACATTTCCAGGTGATATATTAAATGATGATAATATTGATGATAATAGACATTTTGTTATGATTGAAGTAGCCATGAATACATTTTTTTCCTATGAAATTAATCATGTATGTAAAAATAAAGATGATTGTGCTCGAAATTTTGCTGAGAAAAAAATTATTGCAATGACACAACGATCATTTAATATTTCAAATATTTATACTGATCTTGAACGAATTTTATTTAAAAAAGAAAGTTTAGATGATGATTTACTTTGCTTTGATTCAAATGAAGCTGTACGTCAATGTGCTATTGCTGGAATGATGGGTTCATGTCAAATTATTGATGATCTTATTAAATATAATATTCATCGACGTACATGTCAACGTCATTCTCAAGAATCTGCTAGTGTTAATATATATGATTCTAATAGTTTTGCAATAATGACTGTAAAATGTAATCGAATGCTGTGTAATGGACCATTAACAATAGAAGCTGTAAAAAATGTCTTAAATCACTATAATATTACGGATGTTAACGGTAGACTACCAGGAAATAGTTCACGTCTATCAATAAAATATTATTTATTTATCTTGATATTTTTTTGTAGTTTTTTTGAATTTAACTGAAAAAAGTTGATTATTGATATATTTATTAAAAGTATAAATAAATGTATTTATATTATAATTATTATTTTATGTATTGACATGAAGAAAATATTCCAATGATTAAAAATTGCTGCGTTGAAAAAAAAAAATTTTTTTGACACATTCTCATTGTGTTTTCTCGATTAACAATGTCATACGTGCTTAATAAAGAGTTATTTTTAGCTAATATAAAAAACAAAATTGCATTTTTAACGAAAAGAAAAAAAACCAAATCCCTTGAGACATCATTATTATCCATGACATCTGAAGGTCAATCAAAAACAGGAAAAAAAAAGCATTCGTTTGTAATTCATAGTCAAATAAGACAAATCTAATAAAATAAAAAGCAAAATTGTTATTGTTACCATTAAAATTTTCGCATTGTATGTCTATAATGTCATTTATTTGGAATATTCGACTCATCTTATACTACCAATAGAATTTATCTTTCATATTCTTATCATTTTCATACATGAACTATTATGTATATAATACTTTCAAACAATTTAGCTTAACCTCACAATCCAATTTTTAATTAGCACAATATATATCATAATTCACTTGTTTCTTTTTTCCTTGACAAACTCAAAGTATTAGATCAAATAAAGAATACATCTTATTACTTGTAACACATCATTTATTCTTTTCCTTCAGCCTAATAAATATCATTTGTCATTGTCAACTATTGACATTAAATAAACATAATATTAAAAAAACGAACTTTACAAATTGAGTACCATTAGTAATTGAAAATACACACTTGCGATAAATCATGTTTTGAGAATATCATTATCATCTGTGGAAAAATGCGATATACTACAAATGGAAATAACTTACACAACTATATTATTTTCACAAGTCATCCTTCAGAAAAACGTTTACTTACTCAAGTCAAGAAGTATAGACTGTTTTCGACTGAAAAATCCGAAAAAATGATAGAAACTTGCAAGCAGGAATCTAATGATCAGAACCGACGGCCGAATTTTTCTGGTTACAGTCTGCAACTGAACAGTGCCCACCACTGAATCTAGTCACCCTGGTATCTCATCGACAGTCTGCAACAAACGAGGAAAAAAGAGGGTTAAAAGAAGCACATGATTTTGCTTATAAAAGATTATTAGATTAACAAAATCACAACCCTATTGATTAATACTTAAAATAAGATTCGTTCGTTGCATTAAATCTTCAAACCCACAATATTTAGACGAGTCAATATCTTAAGTAGAAATCTTAGATTCATAGAATCCTTTGAAAGATTCTAGATAATTCCAAATCAATCCAATCATTATTGTTATTTACGTACCTTTTCCGTTAGCAAGATCTAAACACGAACTGAGAAAACTTCATTTTTCTTCGAAAATAAATGTGAATTTGAACATGTCGATTAAAATGGCGCTATTTAAATCTGATTTCTCATATGCGAGAATTAATTTCCATTGAATTTAGTCCTGGTTTTTAGTTCAGCTAATAAAATTTTATCGATTAAGAAAGATTAATATCAAGAGAAATTCATATTTGATTTGAAAAATTAAAATTTTATCGGATACAACTAGTACAATTTCAATTACTTAAAGTCAGATGTTACTCTTTGTTCTCTTATGTGCGAAATTTTTGTGGAAAATAAAAGTCAAATTTGAGTCTCCGACAGTCCATTTCAAAGCCTTCTAATAAGTAATAGTTATTATTCGGTTAATATTTCACTTGATTTTATATTCTTGATATGAACTATCAAAAACAATCTTAATATTATTATTTATCTTAGCTACCGTTGCACGGTAAATCTTTATTCTTATTCTCATTTCTTTACGGTATGATATTAACATGTTACATATAAAAAATTCATGTGTACATCACAGATACTTACATATTTTTATCATCACATGAATGAATATCTAACATTCAGAACAATTTCATGGTCAAATTTAACATTCAAACAAAAAAGAAACTTTTTATCAGATTAATTGAACTTTTGAGCATTGCCATTGCTTTAATTCTGATAATTACTTCTCCTACTTTATTTGTTCAATCGGAGAAAACTGTAGATTTCTGTTATAAGTACTTTTCTGAATATTTAATTCTATGAACATGTTTAATGCATATGTTTAAGAAATTTCAAGCTAAATATTTATTCAATCAAGGTTTATTAATATATAATAGTGAGGTCATGAAATAAAAAATCTTCTCAATTAAATTTGTTAGTTTGATGATTTTATTGTTAGAATAAAGAAAGCAAAATCTATCGGTTTTTTATATTGATTACTGTTTTGTCACTCGAAACTTTATTATTGGTTGTTCTATTCGTGTTCTCATTGTTCTTGTTCTGGTTCTTCTACTTCTTCTTCTTCTATAATTTCGTAATCATCATCGTCTTCTTCTTGGTCAGCATTATCTGGGTGAAGATCAATTGAATCATTATTATCCCAATTTTCATGACCGATATCATCAATTTCCACTTGATGAATAGCAAATAATTGAAAACAAAGAGTCGGATTAGTCATATAATCATATGAAATATAACAATATCATTTTTCACCCTAACATGAAACGAAATATAAATATTTCTTTCAAAGAGATTCTTATTTACTCAATCTTTTCCCCAAGAATTTCGTATGATAAACGCTTTCGAACGATCCCTATAACCTACAGCTAACATTGCATGTCTAAAATAATCAATTTTTATTTTTTCTATTCAAATAAAATCAAGCCTTTCATGTTGTTTTGACTGTTCTTCTCCTGGTTTTGGCATTGGCACAACACCGTTTTCTTTCACCTTGTGTTGAAAACCAAATGTTTTTAAACCAAATACAAATGGATATCCTTTCATCTCATTTAAATCTAGTTTAAGTCTTAATGCATCAATTATCCTATTAGTTTTGGCTGCTTCGTATGCTGGATTAACAGGACGTTTATTTACTTTTGTTTTATATCATATGGCCAAATTGATTCGAGACATATGCCAGATTCTTTTAATTCTTCAATAGTATGTGCTATAACACTACTATTATCTTTGATTATTCCATCTGGTGGTTTGCTTTTAACTCGAGCATTGTAATATATAAATAATCGACTTATATCAACATTATCATCCGCTACGTTTTTTTATATAGAAGCTCCTACAATCGAATATTTATGAAATTTTCACAAAAAAAGAACTCATATTTACCTGCAATAGCATTCGCAGTACTAAATCAATAGAAATTTCATAGATTTAATGATTTAAAATCAAATATTTAACATATGACAACTATTCGTTTGTCCTTGATCTTTAACAGGTGTCATGTATGAGCGAAGATCCACTTTAGATGGAAGTTCGCCAGTGCTTAACTTCGTATGATCACCAAAATTTTGTCGTAACTGTTTATCTTCAGGCTCATAGTCTGGTTCAATAAGGTCATCGATGCAAAATATTTTTTTCCACTTTTTTTGTCAACTAAAACACGTTGCTTGTTTCTTAATAAGTTTTATGTGCAATGATACAAAAAAAAAAATAGATAAAATAGCAACTATCCAATAGTTAATATAGTGATATAATTACAAATATGCATTTTTCCCTTCACTCTTATAGGCAAACCGTTCGTTATTCACATTGATATACAAACCAGTTAGATAGGAACATATTTTACCCTGAAAAAATGATATTTATATTTTTGATAAACAAGTCCTTAAGTGAACTTCATTGTCCTTAGATTCGATTTTTGTGTAGAAAAACATTATTGCTTTTGATACATGTAAAAAATGTACATGGTAAAGTTTTATTAATTTTATCTAAATGGATGATGGTTGAATATAGATCGTTAAAAAACATGTATTTATTTTTATTTTGTCTGAATCTATTCATGCGTAATACGAACATTATCGATCATTTACTATGTAAATAAAATGTAGGGCACATTAAGCTATGAAATGACTCTCCTGTTGAAAGTGACGTTATTATGTTCACCACAGTCAGTTTGTGTATTATAGATCATTAATCATTCGAAATAGACTATTAGATTTTATTGAAGCTGTAGGCAGTTGATTCAAAACTCAATAGTATGCATCTCGTATAGCGTTATACATTGCATCTTTTGTGTACACAATTTCTTTTCTTTGTTCAGCTGCTTTACTATGATTAATCCATGAAATGAAAGTTTGTCTTTGTCTCTATCGAATAGAATAAAGGGTGTTTGATAATAACTAACGATAAATTGTTTTCGATAATTTTTACACATTTTGTTGAACTAGAGAGCTGAAATTTTTATCACGCATATATATCTAATCATCATCTTCCATTTCTGAAAGTTTCAGCTTTCTAGCTAAAACTAGTGGTGCTGTGCACCGATAAGACAGAAATACATAAATTTTCGAAAATGATTTTTTAATATTTTTTTGTTGTGAAAATAGTGCAAGGTAGTTCCGTGAGTAGTCAATCAAAAGATTCCCAAGGTATTCAGAAAATTTTCTTTTGTATCAAACTTGGCAGAGCTTTGTTCGTTGATAATTTTGGTAAAAAAATTCGAATTTCATTGAGAAATGACGATGCTATAGACAAAATACTAAACACTGTGAAATGTAAGTGAAAGTCGACTCACATATCTCAAAATGCTTATATTCTGCAGACATGTGACATAGTAGGTTTTGTAGAGAAAACTTTGCTCTACAAAATCCTATAGTCTGTCTTTTAGATACGAGCGAATAGGATAAATAAATCTCGATTAAACATTGTATACGATATTCCTATAAAAAAAATCTGATATCTTCTGTTTTTACGATAAATATTTTGGCTATAACATTGTCATTTTTCAATGAAATTCGAAAGGTTTTTTTTTATCAAAATGATCAGCGAAAAACGTTCTACCAAGTTTGATACGAAAGAAAATTTTCTGAATACTTTGTGATTTTTTGGTTGACTACCCACGGAACTATCCTACAATATTCAGTACGAAAATCTATGTATTTCAATCTTGTCAATGCATTGCACCACTAGTTTTAGCTAGAAAGCTGAAACTTTCAGAGATGGAAGATGATGATTAGATATATATACATGATAAAAATTTCAGCTCTCTAGATCAACAAAATGTGTAAAAATTATCAAAAACAATTTATCGTCAGTTATTATCAAACACTCTTTATAGGAATATGACAAAGTATTTTTCTTTCATATGACTTTGTTAACTTGTATGTAGATATATGAGGATGCCATGACAGAACCTTTTCAATGTTGAATTGTGAAAAGCAGCAATCGACTTTGAATTAAATATCATTCCATAGGTTTTTCAAAGCTCTGCAAAATAATACCACAGCATTAAGTTTAATTGATGAACACGATACTTTAATCTAATACTCATGAATACTAAGAGTTATTCTTGGTGACTATTATTTAGTCTCTTTTCGTCAGAATAATCAAGATTTCCATCAGAATATTTGATGAATTATTGAAATGAGAATAAAAAACTGAGACGATCTATTATTTGAATAAAACCATCTGAGATAAAAGATAAATAATTTGTTCAAGTCTCAAATAGATAAAAGTGAAAGTTTATTTTTTACGAATGCATACAGAAAATAACAAAATTTTTAATTAAATTAAATTTTTTCATGGATCTAATGCTAACAAAAGACACAAAGATTTATATGTCATTAAATCATTCATAGGTTATAGAAGATATTTGTTCTTATTTAAATCATCAACAAGTACACTTTTAATTTTTCATCTAACGTCTTTTTCAATGCTAACAACAAGATATTAATCTGCAGTTACGTTATCTATCGTGTTTCTCAAATTAGTTTAGCATAGTTCTTATGTTTTGATAGAATACGACGTTATCTAGAATGTGATGATCATGGAACTGATTTGATTTTCCTACATAACATCACCTTTCTATGAATTCAATATGAACAAAAAAATTTTTTTTCATTCATCTTTACTGACTCTCAGTCTTTATTAAAAAATAAAGAAATTTAGTGTTGTAGTTTTGTTTTGTGCGTTTTTCATAATTATTCATCTAAATTAGACTTTGTTTATTAACGAAAGAAAATATTTCAAAGCTAATAAAAAATATCTTATGGTAAGCAAAATATTTATGAAACTGTTAGCATTGTTATCGATAGTTTATAAATATGTCTATAGTTGCTCTGCTAACCGGTACCCGATTATTTCTGAAAACGATTAGGCTTAAGTAATAACTCAATACTTATTATAGTTGGCCGTAAGGAATGATCCCTTTTTTTTTATTATCTAACGAGGGAACGTTCCCAAGTGATTAAAAGCTTTTGAGCTCATATGTTGCCCATTAGGTAGGGGACCACTAGATTAGAGAAACCTCCAAAGGATTCGTGCCCATATTGAGATTTGACAGAGATATCGAATTTTTAGTGGATTTTTCCTGCTGGACCCTAGTTCTACAGCAAAATCATATTTTCGAATTTCGACCTGAAACTTTGTCCAAATGAAGGCCTCAATCAGAGTGGCTTGTATAAAAAATTTCAGAATTTTTGGACATTGTATTTCCAAGGTATCAATTTTTGAAAATATAGGCACTTTTCTAAAGATAACATGGATACTTTGAAAGATTGATACCTTGGAAATACAATGTCCAAAAATTCTGAAATTTTTTATACAAGCTACTCTGATCGAGGCCTTCATTTGGGCAAAGTTTCAGGTCGAAATTCGAAAATATGATTTTGCTGTAGAACTAGGGTCCAGCAGGAAAAATCCACTAAAAATTCGATATCTCTGTCAAATCTCAATATGAGCATGAATCCTTTGGAGGTTTCTCTAATCTAGTGGTCCCCTATCTAATGGGCAACATATGAGCTCCAAAGCTTTTAATCACTTGGCAACGTTCCCTCGTAAGATATTATTCAAACAATGAAAAAATATACCACAAAATCTTTGCTCGAGTTTTCAATTAAAGTTATAATTTTTTTGTTTCGCAATGATTCCTTTTCTTATTTCATCGATTATAGAATCATAGTTTTTAACTTTATACTATTGTATATTATTGATCATAATGTCTGATATAAAAATATTTCAAAACATTTAGTTGACAACTACTTGGGGACCATTACGATTTGTCTATGACTTTCAAATAATTCTCTTAACACTATGCAAATATTTTCTAGGATGTATGCTGCGTTCCGTCATCTTGTTGAGAAACGAAATCTACTGTTTACCTTAGATTGTACATATATATATAAAAAATAATTTCAATATAATTATTAGGTTACAATATTTTACTAGATTAAAATATAATTGAAAATGTAAGGTCATTGTTAAAAGCACGTTATGAGAGATGTACCTATTGCTTAACAATAACATAAGAAAATTTTGTTTTCTTATATTTGTGGCTCTATAATTTAAAGTCAAAAATACTACGAAAGAATATTTTCATGAAACAAAATTTTACGTTTCAAGAGAATTAAAGATTGATACTCGTCACAATGAAATTCAATAAACATTGGCTTCTGTTTTATTTATAATTAAATAAATCAACATTAAAATGAGGTAATAAAATGAAAGAGTATTGTTCAAAACGAATGAATCGATCAATGAAAAAATTCTTTCACTTTACTTCCAGCGTTTGATATATATTCCTTTGTAAAAGAATGTCCTACCAATTGAGTTTAACAACTGATATGATAAAATCGCGATAAATTGTAGTTGTTTTTAGGGTTTTGACAATGAATATCTCTCTACATGATCGTATCATAATTGTTTTTGAATACTTAACCTTTTTTTTTTATATCGTTTGCTTATCCATCCTTCTTGTCAACTTGTAATATAATCACGATTCTTTACGTTGCATAAGTGATTTTTTAAAATACAATATGCATATTCATACTGAAAGGGAATTTTTATATTTCAAACTTAGATTATTCGATCAAATTTTCCATAGACAGTAGTAAGAGGGAAAAACTCATTCCGAGCCATTCGAATGGATCGAAACGGCTTGGAATTTCTGAGTAGTCTCTCTTTGCAGTTGACCTTTGATCTGATAGCAGTCAAACACTGGACATATGCGTTTAACTCGGAATGGCCCGAAATGCTCGAATGTGGTTTTCCCCCCTTGGATAACAGTCTCAACTTTCATCGTCAATATAGACGATTGATCGTCATTAATATAGATAACTTGTGATCAAAGTTTTGCACCAACAAAATACAGTTTAATCAGTTGTTTATAATTCTATATGAAGTTGACCTTCACTATTCAATACAGACACTAATTACAATAATTCTTCAAGGCAATATAATCGATTTTGAAAGAGAGAAATTTATAAGATAATTACGCTGAATATTG